TACTCACATGAAACACGTCATGAACTCCGGACAACTGCAGCGCAAAGCTAAACGATAGGCAACCTCGCCAATCCTCTCAAGGATCTCAAAAGAGGCCAATAAACCGATGGATAACTTCCCACTCTTCCCAAACCTCATCAAAACCTCGCCTAGGTGATGATTTTCAAGAAGACATGATCACCTATCTCAAACGCCAAAGGCCTTCTCTACGGTCGCATAACTCTTTTGGCGACTCTTGGGCTGTAACAAGCCTCCTACGGATAAGCTCAACTTTCTCCGTCGTCTCCTTAACCAACTCCGGACCCAACAAAGGTACATCACCCACCTTCGGCCCAACACACTGGAGACCTACACGGTCGGCCATACAGGCCTCAAACGGTGCCATAACGATGCTAGACTGAAAACTGTTGTTGTAGGCAAAACTCTACCCAAGGGCAAGTGCCTCTCCCACATCCCACTAAAGGCAAGGACACAACCTCAAAGCATATCCTCAAGGATCTGTAATAGTACGCTCGGACTACCCGTCAGTCTGAGGATGATAAGCCGCACTAAAGGTCAACTTAGTGCCCAAGGCACTCTGCAAAAACTCTGCCACAACCTAGTCAGAAAACGAGGATCTCTATCTGAGACGATCGTCACTGGGACCCCGTGCAATCTCCACTATGTCCGAATATACAAGTCGGCGAGATGATCTACCGAATCTCTCACGCGCATAGGAATGAAGTGCGCCGACTTAGTCAAAACCGGTCTACAACCACCCAAATGGCACCACTACCCCGCTGAAGTCCTCGGAAGACCTACAACGAAGTCCATAGTGACATGCTCCCACTTCCACTTAGCAATAGGCAAGGGTTGCAACAAACCTGTTGGCCTCTGATGCTCGGCCCTTCACTTGCTGGCAAGTAAGGCACTTCGATACGAAAACAGCCACATCTCTCTTCATACCCCGCCACCAAAACTGGCGACCCAAATCCCGATACATCTTAGTGCCTCCCGGATGCACTGTAAGGTGTGAATGATGGAACTCTCGGAGTACTTCCTCTCGCAAGACTCCGGCACAAACAAACGGTCTCGGTATCTCACACTTCTGGTCGGGATACACCGTCAAACCCTTCTCAACTTTCCCACTGGAGATCTTCTCTCAGAGGGATTCTACCTCAAGGTCACCTCTTTGTGCCTCTAACACTCGAGTCACAAGTGTAGGCTGTGTAACAATAGAAAACAAGGCCGCAACCTCAAACAGATTCGCCCAAAGCAAAATCAAACTCGCCAAGTGCACCCCAGCATCTCCCATTCCCGGATGGCTATACAAGCTACATCACTAATGGATTTCCAACTAAGGCATCGACCACAACATTGGCCTTTCGCGGGTGATAGTGCAACTCAAAATCATAATCCTCAATAAACTCCATCCATCTCCTCTGCCTCAAATTCAAGTCCCTCTGTGTGTAAACAGATACCTCAAACTCTTGTGGTCCGAGAACACCTCGAACCTCTCACCATAAAGGTAGTGCTCCAAATCTTTAAGGCGAAGATCACTGCTGCTAACTCTAAGTCGTGTGTAGGGTAATTCTTCTCGTGTATTTTCAACTGACGTGAGCCATAAGCTACCACTTTCCCCTCTTGCATTAACACACAACCCAAACCTCTCGTGAGGCATCACAATAAATGCATAACCCAACCTCTCTCCGGAATAATCAAAACTGGAGCGGTGGTCAATCTAACTTCAACTCCTGGAACGACTTTTCACAAGTCTCACTCCATACAAACTTGCCCCCTTCCGCGTCAACTTAGTCAACGGCGAAGCTAGCTGGAGAATCCTTTACGAACCGCGGTAATACCCAACTAATCCCAGAAAACTGCGGATCTCAAAAACGCTTTAGGCTGTGCCCAATCCTGCACTGCCTCTACCTTGGATGTATCAACAGACACCCCTTCCCCGGATACCACATGGCCTAAGAATTTGACTCTCCTAGCCAGAAACTCACACTTCCCAAACTTGGCATACAGCCTATGGGTTCTAAGTAACTCGAGCACCACTCTCAAGTGTTCTTCGTGCTACTCCTCTGAAGCGTGAATAGACAAGAATGTCATCCATGAAAACGACCACAAAGCGATCTAAGAACTCCGGAAGATCTGGTTCATCACAGTCCATAAAGATTGCCGGTGCATTGGTAAGCCCAAATGGCATCACCAGAAACTCATAATGGCCATACCGCGTACGGAATGTCGTCTTCGGAATTTCCTCCTCCCTGACCCTCAACTGGTGGTAACCAATCTCAAGTCTATCTTAGCGAAAACAAGGGAACCCTTCAACTGGTCAAACAGATCATCTATACGGGGCATAGGGTACTATTCTTGACCGTAGCCCGATTCAACTTCCGGTAGTCGATACACAATCTCAAGCACCATTCTTTCTTTTTAGCAAAGAGGGCCAGTGCTCCCACGGCGAAACACTAGGGCGAACAAAACCCTTATCTAGCAATTCCTGGAGCTAAATCTTCAACTCACTCAACTCGGCTGGGGCAAAACGATAAGGTGCCATAGAATCGGTGCTGTGCGCTGGGCACTAAATCAATAGAGAATCTATCTCTCGGTGAGGTGGCAAACTAACGAGATCCTCGGGAAAAACATCCACATCCGAATACTCACAAACCACCCTCGGCAATACAATCTGGGTCTCGTCACACTCACCACTCATAAAGCTAGCAAGTAGACCACTAAGCCTATTCCGCCCTCGCGGATCATACATCGGTGGCAACACACTACCAACCCGATCCCCCAAGAAATGGAAACACTCCCCGCTCAAGGTACGAACTGTGACCCTCTGGTGGTAGCAATCAATAACATCCCGGTATGACGATAGCCAGTCCATATCCAAAATAACATCAAAACCCTTCATGGGCATGACCACAAATGGAAAAGGAAGCCTATGGTCTGCGACTTCTATATCACAACCTCTAACACCTTGCTTCAAGATCAACTCACCACCAACAGGCGATACTACACATATAGGAGATGCTAACTATGACAACTCCAATTCCAAAACAGATGCAAATGCAGCAGATACAAAAGAATGAGATACACCCGTATCAATCAATACACTAGCAACCGAGTTGCAAAACAAGAAGATACCTCTCATAACTGGCGGAGCAGGTACAAGATCCTGCGCGGTAACAGCATACACGCGCCCTGTAGGCCCCTGATCCAACTGCTCACCCCTCGGAGCAAACGACTGTTGCACTGACTGGGACGACGATGCTCCCGGATTGGCCCTCGAGGCCTGCACAGACTGAGCTGGCTGAAAACCCTGCGTCTGTCTAGAACCAGACGCGCCCAAAGTGGCACTCAATTGTGGGCAAAACCTCTTCAGGTGCCCAGGCTCACCACACTGATAACAAGACAAGGGCTGACCCCTGCCCTGACTCTGGCTCTGAGGTCTAGCTGAAGACGAAGCAGCTCTCTGACCTCCTCTCCTCTGTGGACAAACTGAAGCCTTGTGGCCCAACTGACCACACTTGTAACAGGTGAACTCCCCCGGATTACCTCTCCCCGAGCCTGCACTCGGCACTAGAAAGGTCGACCTAGCAACACCACCCTGAGACTGCTGAGGGTTAGCACCCCTCTGTCTCCTGCCATCACCCTGACCATCTTGGCTCCTCTTGGAGCCTCTTTGCCCCTCCTCTTCCTACATCATGATCTCCATATGGGCGGCAGCATCAACCAAGCGTCCATAATCTCGGATCATCGAACCTCCAACTCTCATCTTGAGGCCGCGCCTCAACCTCTTCTCGAACTCGATACAGCGGCGTTCCTCGGACGCCACAAGTTCAGGTGCGAACTTGGACAAGCTAGTAAAAGCAGTCTCATACTCGGCTATTGAAGAACTCAACTGCAAAAGCTGACAGAACTGGTCTCTCAGCTTCTCCCTGACTGCTGGAGATAAATACTTCTCCTGAAAAGCCTCCACAAAAGCCTCCCCACGTGCCAGCATATGGCCCCTCAATGCTATTTCCACCACTGGACCCGCACCCCTTTTAAGCTGGAAGGATCCTTCGGATCCCCAATAAACTCGTCCGGGTTGGACCGGAAGAACTCCCTTTTCAAGAAGGAAGGCCCTGCCTCAACAACCTGGGCTTGAACTGGAGCCTGAACTGGATTCTCAGCTCTGAGAATTCCCATAGACTCCCTCAAAGCATCGGCTATTCCTCGGGCTAAAGTGTCCATAGCCTCCTGACCTGCTGGCTCGGCCACATTGGCCTAACCAACCCCCTCCTACTGTGCCGGAATATCATTCGGTAAAGGCATCTCCTGCCTACCACGTCTACCACGTCCTCGTCCTGACATCCTAATAAAGGTAACGAAGAGCGTTAGCGCATTCATAAATGTGCCAAAACTAGACACTCGCGTCCTAATACATAGACAACTGTAATTCACTCCACGTAAGTACATAAACACATAAGCACTTACGAATTTCATTTCCGGATAATGATAGTCCCGAGGCATTACTAGAGTTCCGGTTAGAAACAACATTGATCAAGTGCTTTTCCAATAAGGCTCACAAAAACCCAAGGATCCAATCAACATCATAGAAACTAAATCCCATACTCAAGTAGTCACATAAACATGTTATCAAATAAACACATAATGTCGCACATAAGTCTCTAACAAGCGAGACAAACCCATTGTGATACTAATCACTTCCCACGTACCCAAAGTATTCGAACCCGGTACGCTCTAATACCAAGTTGTAACGCCCTCAAAATAATACATAAAACTCATCTCTTTAGACATGCATTGATACAAAGAAACCAGCCATCTTTCCATTAATCTGAGTAGTTCTTACAAAAGTATTACATGTTAACAACAAAAGCAAATGCCCTACGGGCTTACAGCTTTCCAAGTTAACACTTGGTTACAAAAAGAAGAGTACTAACTCAATACATATTAAGCCCTTGGCTTGAATTTACATGTAATACATCAAAAGAAAGCAAATAACAAAGCAGTCTGTCTGCCTCTAGCCTTCCAAGCTATGTTCTTGGAGGTGGCATGCTACCTGTACCTGAAAATGATGTCCCAAATAGGGTGAGCCACATCCCAGTAGAAATACACCAAACCAACTATGAACAATGACTAAAATGTTAGCAGTTGATAGATGGTCAACACAGATACATCCGCTTATATCACATTCCAGTTTCATGACACTTAAGTCCATGTTACATTTCATTTCTCATTTCTTTTTCAACTTTGAGTTTGAAAACAAGGCTCAAGACTTAGCCAAATAACTTGATGAGAATAAGACTCATCTTAAAACACTCTTGAAATTCATGGTAGATACACATTTTGATGCTGTATCAATAACACATAAACCACTTCCATACTATACAAACGATACACATTTTGGTGCTGCATCAACATAACATAGAAACACTTCTATATCTCACAATTCATAACGATATACATTTTAGTGCTATATCAAATCAATTTAAACACTTCCATAATCAACACTTGATACACATGGTAGTGCTGTATCAATGTCACACACAATTTGGCTTAGAGGTCCATCCCCTATCTTCCCCTAAACCGTGGAGTACATCCCCTATCTCCTCCCACACACACAATGTATATAAACATAGATCATATACATAAACAATCAATACATAAAGTCGATGTATTATTCCAACCGCTATATTCGATAGCATACTCAATCGATTAGTTTTAGTTTGCCTAATCATCATGCATTGTCTACAACAAACAAGGCTATCCTCCACCGATAGCCTAAATCAGTTATTTCTAAATAGGAAATAAATGCACCAAATGGATATATTATCAACATTCAACCTGGGTGAGCGATTAATTGAATCCAACTACACCCGTTTATCCCACAATCTTTCAATTTGAATATTCTCAATTCAATTCCTCATTTCTCAAAATTAATTATACAAATTAATTTATCCAACTAATTACGGCATTTTCCCATAATTAACATAACAACCCCAAGGTTCCATTTTCATCCATAGTTCGTCATCTACATCATTTCTCTATGCCAAGCACGCATATAGGTTTAATCACAAACAAAACCCCATCTTTTGTAAAATTATACAAAGACCCAAACTTTCTCAAAATTACCCAACAACCCCCAACATATCAAAATGCTAAAATTCAAAGACAAAGTTCATAAAGAGGAGTAGGATATCCCTACCTCGAAGTTAGAGCTCAAACGGGGAGGTTGAAGAAAACCAAAATGCTCCAAACTCAAATATCCACAGATCAAAATGGAGCCCTCGACGATCAACACACTTTTTACAAAGGCCGGAGGATGGGGAGACACTCTAAGTAGATCAAACCCTAGAGAGAAGGGAGTTTCTACAGAGAGGAGCTCTCAAAATATCTTTTTAGAAAGTAAGAGAGAGAGAGAGAGAGAGAGAGAGAGAGTGTAAAAAGTGATTTTAAAAAGCCCAGCTGCCAACTGATATACGACATTCCCGCTCGAGCAGAGAACACAACGCTCGAGCGTCAAGAACAAAAAACTAGGTCTACTCGAGCGTAATAAGTCCCGCTCGAGTGCCAAGACACAAGAATAAAGTACATCCGCTCGAGTGCGAAAACCAGTTCGCTTGAGCGTAGATTTCCCCCTTCTAGAACTTACACCAAAAAGTACTACCCGCTCGAGCGTAGAAATCACACCTGTAGAAATTTTGCAGGAGCACGAAATACTGGGAGTGTGTAATCTCCGCTCGAGCGCAATAAGGCCCGCTCGAGCAGAACGACCAAAAACCTGGCAACAAGATTTTAGACCAAGGTTCAACCCACCTGTTCGAAACATGCCCAACACATCCTGAAACTCAAACAAATGGAATTAAAGGACAACAACAAGATAGATACAACTGCCAACTCCACGGAACCGAGTCCGGAATACAACAAAACAGTAAAGGGACAACCGGGATCGCTATAGTTAAAAAGGTAGGGTAGGTGGAGGGCATCGTTTTAATATGAAAATTTCCAGTTTTCGTCGCCGTTGATTTTCGGGCGTTGTTCATTTTCTCCTCTTGCTTTGAGGTAGGGATTTCTTTATTGATTTGCATGTTATTTAGTTTTGTTATGTGTTTTCTTGTAAATCTAACACTTTGTGAGATTAGAGTTCGATTTATATGTATTTTAATGCATAAAAGTAAGGGTTTTCTCACAATTGTTCTTAAATCTTTATTTGTTTGTTGATGATAATGGTGGGTATTGGAAACTTGAAGAAATGGGTTTAAAAATGAGAAACCTCAATTTTATTTATCAAAACCCTAGGAGTTACACAAGGTTGATGAAGTAAATGGTGTTGTTGAATTTATGGTGAACTCATGAATTTGCATTTTATGGAAATAAATGAGATTTTGGGAGATTTTGAGGCAAGATACTTTGTGTTGATATTGTTTGAAATCATTAGCGATGATCTTTATTTATATATCATCCATTTTGGACTATATTAGATAGAGATAATTATTTTGGCTATCGGCGGAGGATAGCATTGCTTATTGTAGAAATTGCATGAGAGCTAGGTTAACTGAAGCTAAATTCACTCATGCATTTCATTTATTCAATTGTGTCATGCCTATGCATTTGAAAAGTGTTGTTTTGAGAAAAATGGGTGAATACAATGGTAAATCTGGTCAGGAGGTTTGGTTGTGGTTAATTAAGTTGGCATTTGTATCCTTGGTGAAAGTTCAGAAATCTGTGCAGTTAGGATGCCTTCCATTCGGTTAGTTGTCAATAAAGTGGCTTTGGTAGTGCTTTTATAGCCTACATGCGGACACATATCTAGAGATTACCAGCGTGTGTATTTACTACCCTGTTTTCTGCCATAAAGAAAAAATATAAATTGTGGTTTGAACTCTAGCATTGTTTCAAAAAGGGGGAAAAAGCATGATTTGTAACGGCATTTCATATGCATCACCATATGACTCTGTTAAACATCATGCATATCATTAAACTTGTCTCTACTGGGCTTTAGCTCACCCTACATAGAAAAACATTTCAGGTACTGATGGTATGCCTCTGGTAAGGGGATAACTTGGGAGAACGTTGGAGCTAAACGCTCATATTGAGTTTTGTTTTGTGTAAGCCTAGGACTTTCTACGTATTGGGCATAAAACCCACTTTTGTTGTAACCAAGTATCATCTTGGGAACTTGTAGCTGATAAGGCATGGATATGTAATAGATTAGATATTAATTTTTATCGATCACATGCTATAAATTCAGGTTTTAGAAGCAGTGAATGTATCATGCATGTGGTCTGATTTTGTAATACTATAAAACATCATGATTCTCAATGTATGAAATCTTAGTTTTACTTCCACTTATTGAATGGAAAATGTATGTGTTATGGATAGTCCGAGTTTCCATGTTTTTAGGGTGTTTCATCTTGTTTTATTATATAGATTGATAATGTATTAACATTTATATAGGGTGTAGTTTTTGTTATTAAATATTTTCAAACGTTTCCATATTCTTTAATCATTTCTCTCATGTTTTTGAAACATTTCCATTTCCATGCAATCAGAAACAACATATTGATATGAAATTTTGATCCTTCGTCATTTCAGAACATAATACTCCTTCACAAGCAAATGGTAGGTGGTAGGTGCCTTCCCCACAAGAGGGAGTGACAAAGAAAGTAGCATGTGAGAGAACTCAACAGCCCCAGAGAAACAAACAAAGAAAAAAAAAATAGCTGCATATTCTGACCTTGATTACCGTCCAGTGGCGCAAAGATGGAGACACCCAAGGAAGTGGACTAAAGAGCCTCCTGGGAACTCCTGAAGGAATTCTGGTTGGTACACTGAATGACAATGCTGACCACACTAGCACCATACAAGGAACCCCATAGTCTGCAATAAAACTTCGTTGCCATCCTGAATTCAATAAGAAAAGGTTCATAATCAGATTTCAGTTGAATGTCATCTTTGCAGTGAAGATTCAATGTCACTGTCACAAACCTGTGCCGTACCTCCATGACCTTGCTTTTCTGCTCTAAAGAGAAGGCCAAAGGAGAATATGATTGCCAGCAACCCATTTGTATATAGCCATTGGAAATGATATTTCTCTACGGTTGGATCTCCAGCTTTGGGGATCTTAAATTCACTAACCAACCCCTGGCATTCAACATTGTTGTTCCAAGATTATTCTTGCAGAATTTATAGCTGGTAATTAAAACTTAGAGTTTCATTTCGCAAAGCAATGAAAAAAGCTAATGCATTAACTGAGAAAACAGATACAATAGGAATTCAAGTGCAAATTGAAGAGCATATCGATGGAATATAAATTGCACGCTTTGAATGAATCAAAGAAGGTAGGGTTTCCCTACCATTCGAGCTAAAATTGATTATAACCATTAAGAAAAATTTATTTCTAGGCCTAATAAAGCAGTTTCTATTTGTTAATCAAATAAATACCTTGATAGCCTCTTGCATGAAAAGAACAACAATCAACGTGCCAAAAAGTTCGCCAGCTATTCTTGTTAATCTATTGATAATAGTGCAAGCATTAAACACAGCAAGGAGAAAGACCAAGAGAGTTGTCCAGACGCAAACCCTGCAAGGTTGTGTCAAGAAAATGAAACCAGTACATAAAGATTTTAGACAAGGAAATATAGGGAGATGGATTCATCTTTACCATCCAGCCCAAGCCAAGAAGAACTCTTGTCCAAGATCTACCTTTCCTTTGGTAAAATTATGCAAGTGTACATTATAACCGTGGGCTCGGCAACTCCCAATATCAACAAAGGTTGACCAACAAATATTGAATGTATTATTCCGCATATGGCAGTCGAAGCCAGAGTTTCTATTGTGCTCAAGCTTCCATCTACAGAAAAATAAATAAATAAAATTTAGAAAAATGCATGTCAATAGATAAATCAGATAAAGGCCCCTCCACACTTGCACAGAGTGACCTTTACTAAATTGAAAAGAATTAAGCATAATGTTCAACCTGCTGCTCTATTAAGTTGTTCTCCAAACACAATGACTGGAAGAGCAGAGGCAAAGAACATATAAGTGGTTGGAGCCAAAATCCTGAAGTAGATGAACTTAAAAATTACATTCCAATTGCAATGTTCCACAATTATGTTACTCTTACTCTATCAAAACAAATAAAGAAACCTGTTGCCTGAAGAAAATGCGTCGAGATAGTCTCGCATATAGCACTCTTTTCTTCCTTTAAAGTCGTTAATAATCCCTTTGAGTGGAGATTTCATATTCTTCGTTGCTGATTGCAAGAAAACACAAAGATAAGACACAGAAAAATTCACCTTATGTTGTGAAGAAACATGAGAATTGTAAGTGACCGTTTACAATACATTCTACTGTTAATTGGAGGGTTAGAAATTAGAGCAACAGAGTTTGACACTTTGACACCAATGCAAAATTTCTGAAGAATACAAATAGATACCAATAACTCTACCCATGTGATTTTTGGTCTCATAGAAAATGGAGGGTTCTTATAGGTAAACAAAACTCAAAAAACAAGAAAATAATAAATAATATAAAAAAAATCTGTACTTTAAATATGATAACATCACCAAAAAAGGAAGAATAACCATTTCCCTAAAATTGCCTGATTGTTGAAATTTTCAAATTCTCTGATCCTTCAATTCACAAAGCAAGATCATTGTGTACTACAACCTAAGGACAGACACTTCAAAGAAGGAAGCGTGTCCATATCATGCCTGTGTCAAACACCAACACTTTTCGGACACTTCCCAATAAGTGTCTGACAGTCATCAAAACATATCCTATTTTTTCAAAAAAAAAAAAAGACCCGGACACACCTGTCCATCATTTAACACACACATTGTATGGTTGTGTCCATGTGGTGTCATGTGTCCGTGTGTGCGCTTTATAGACTAGAAAATACAATGATATCTACAAATTTGGGTATTATACCATAACTGTTCAACAAACTCCATTTCACATTCATAACTCCATGTTATATAGATATATACAAAGAACCCCAAGGGGCGTGGCTCAGTGGATGGAGAAAGCAACCAAAGGGCTCGCCACCCAAGAGGTTGCAAGTTCAAAACCCACAAAGGTCAAACTTTTCAAACCTTGGGGCCACTGGAGGTCTGCCCGATTGTTAACTTCAGGGTCCTGGGATTAGTCGAGGTGCGCGTAAGCTGGTCCGGACACCCGGTTATCAAAAAAAAATATATATAGATATATACAAAGACACATTTTCACACAAATCAGTAAATTGTTTGTTTGATTTGAGAACAGAGACAACTATATTTCAGAAGGCTGCACCTGTGAATTCCGAGGCCGATTGGATTGGAGTTTGAAAAAAATGAATGGATGACACTTTTGATTCTGATCTGAGTAGCTCACTCAGTCAGTGGTTTCTGGTTGCTGCTCTGTTTTAATTATATTTTGTTTGTTTGGAGTCAAAATCGTTTAGTACTGAATGAATGCCCAACCAAGATCCCCATAAAACCACAGCGCTCTCTCTCTCTGTGCTCTATTTTCTCTTTGATTTGAATATAACCGCGAGATTGATGTTGTTGTTCAATCCCACCAATTTCACACGTGACAGAATTGTATTGGTTGAAGCCGTCCCTGCCTGCCTTGTGTTATCATTTTCCGTTACGTATTATGTTGAGATTTTATTAATAGAGCTTGTGTTCTGCACAGCTGCTCCGTAAAACTAAAATTTACCGACAACCAGTAGCTTCTTGACATGTCACCATAATTGCAAATGTCGAACAATTTTTTAACTTTTTTTTTTTTTTTATAATAAAAGATAGAATTTTAGTAAAGTTAGGTTATAATTTAAAAAGAGTCGCCGCTAATCTATCTGTTCAAACTCTAGACTTTTCACTCACCGCATCCTAAGGCGCGGCTACATGCTACTCGGCCGCAAAATCCTCAGCGACAATTATTTAACTTAACCACAGATTATGTCATTCTACTCTCAACTCTAGAAAAATGCTATGAATCTTATCTTAATTATCCTGAATTTATCTCAAAAGAGGTTGAATGGTTAGGATTGAGTTTGTATAGTATGAGATTCATTTGTAAAATAGATTTAAATTATAAAATAATAATTCTGATTAATTTCTAAATAATTAAATTTAAATTTGTAGTATTACTGCTCAACTTTAATACTATGCAAATCTACTCTCTCTCTGAACCCAGACATGTCGAGAGAGAGTCGCATCATCTTTCTCTCTCCTTTTTCACTATTTTTTTCCCCCTTTCCTGTAAATCTAAACGTTCTCATCTTTCCCTGTCTCTAAAACTATGGCCTCGTATGAGATGTAGGTTAGTTTTTTGATTTTTTAATTTTTTTTTTGTTATTTTAGTTTGAGACTATAGAGTGTCGCATTGTATGAGCTTTTTAATTGTTGATTATTTCAACCTGACTTTTCATTTATATGTATTGCATATAGAAATAAATGAATACTGATAGGGAGAGAGAATTATGTCTCATTTGGGAACATATTATAACAATGGCAACTAGTATGTTTGGAATGATTATTTTTTTACGAAAAAATGTACAAAAAGTAGAGAGAAAATGAAAATTTTTGACTTTTTGATATGGGGTTTTTTTTTTGGGGGGGGGGTTGAATTTTTTACTTTTAAATTAAAATATTGAGTTGTCAAACGAAGCCTTAGATCATTTTCAGTGGTTGTTATTATAATACCAGTTATTGCTATAATTTGGCAATGAATAGTAGTAACTTGTCAAATTATAGCAATGGTGCTCTAGTGGTACATATATTATTTTGGCAAACCTCAACCAACTTTCCCTCGAAGTTTGTAGGTATTATTTAGATATAATTTTTTTAGTGATTTTTGTTTATTTTTTTGTCTTTTGTGACCTTTTTTTAATCTGTTTGTATAAAAAATAATATATTTATATAATACCTGACTAGACAAATATAAAAAATGAAAAAGAAATTGAAAAAATAAATTTAAATACTCAAAATTACATTGGAGGCAAAAAGATAGATTTAAATACTCGACATTACATTGTTTATACCCAACTATATATATATATATATTGGTTGTTTTTTCAAGCAAAAAAAGCACAACAGCTCTTTTGCCTTTCCAAGACAGATCACCGCTGTCCACACAATGCCATTTCCAACGGTTGAGATGAAGATCCAGAATCATCCAACCCTTTTGTCTCTCCCTCTCAGTCTCCATCTCTCTCTCTTCTCTCTTTCTTCGATCGGTTACAAAGCATGTCTCCTCCTCCCTCACTCACTCAATCTCTCTTCTCTCTCTCTTCGATCGGCTACTGTTTCAGTCTTTCTCTCCCTCACTCTTACTCTATCTCTCTTCTCTCTCTCTCTCTCTCTTCGATCAGTGACGATCCCAATCTCCCTCTTCCTCACTCTCACTCTGTCTCTCATCTCTCTCTCTTTGATCAACGACGGTACAAGATCGAAGAGACGATCGGCGACTATCTACCCCCTATCCCCCCCTCTCTCTCTCCTCTCTGTCTCTTTCTTTCTCCCACTCCTAGAATGGATTTGCCACGTTGGACAAATCGAAGAGACGATCACCACCAGATTTACTTTGAACTACCAAAACCAAATATTTATTATTTTAAGTTTTGTTCATATGATGAGATTTTAGGATTTGGACTTATGATATTTGCTTGTTGAGCTCCAATGAAATTGTTGAAATGTTTTTTGTTGAATTTGACATTTGTTAAATTTTATTGAGATTTATTGATTGTTGTTGGTTGATTGTGTAAAAAGAAAAAAAAAAAAAAAAAAAAAAAAAACTCTGCTTATTTCGGGTAAATTAAAAAAAAATATATTGAATTTTTTTTTTTGGTGAATCTTGAAAGATAAAAATGGTGAAACAGTTGTTGGGAGAGAGGGAGGGAGGGAGGTGAAAGATAAAAATGGTGAAACAGTTGTTGGGAGAGAGGGAGGGAGGGAGGGAAATAGTTGGTTTTGGCTGAGTTGGCACAAATTTGACACAACCTTTGACATTTCTCAAATTTGGCAGTTGTTATATTCAACTATTGGAGTATTATTTTTCAACACAGCTGCTATATTATAACAATGGCAACTAGAATGACAAACCATTGTAGATGCCATTAGAGGTGAGAAAATCTTAGATAGAAAACTAATTGTAGAGATATGATGGTGCTTATGTTCTGAGTGTATTTACAGAAAATGGTGGTAGAGGTTTTTACCTGGATGATGGAGTTTCCAGTGTGTGTGGAAGACATTAAATTGATTTTGTTCATTCTTTTTGAAAATTTGCATTGTTTGGTTCAAAAAAGTGATTCCAGATACATGAATTTACGGTTTATTAGTTGTGTAAACTAATCATATATATTATTGGAGGTAGTGTTTTTTTTAATGTAAAAATACTTGGATCTCCAAAGTTGGAGACTCGTATGAGCTCTAAAATAATGTGAACTAATCATGTGTTTTTGTTTTTGTTTTTGTTTTTGTTTTGTTTTTTTTGTTTTCTTTCTGGACCAAGCATAAGTGAGTGGGGTTGTCGGGGTGTGTTTTTTAGGGATCTGTGACCCCCAAAATGATGTGGACCAATCATGGGTTTTTATTTTTTATTTTTTTCTTTTCTTCCTGGACCAATCACAGGTGAGTGGGGGTTGTGGGGTTGTATTTTTTGGGGGTCTGTAACATTGTTGTTTTTTATGCTTAGGTGACACATTTTAAAGACTTATTTTTTTTAAAAGAGTCACGTCAGCATGTGTTTTCTTAATTATATATAGAATTCTACATAAATCCAAACCTAATTTAAATTATACTAATTTTACATATTTTATATGTGTTCTATTTAACAAATATTTCTTTTCCATATATTTTTCATAATAAATTAAGATAATCGACAAACCCAATACTAATTTTATGTTTCATGTTTTTTTTCTTAATCTTTTGAAGGGTATTAGGATTTTTTTTAATGCTAAATTACCTCTCTCTCTCTCTCTCTCTTATTTTCCCTTGTATTATTCTATATCCAATACCAATTATATATTATTCTATATTATGGATTTGTCATTTAAATTTTATAGTAATTCTACATATGAAATTATACTTCATTTCTTACATTATTTTATATAATCACAACTCACAGGAGAAAAAACCTGCACAGTAAGTTCTCGAGGAACCTCTAAAGTTTAGATGATTAATTGAGTTACTTTTTTAATATTTTAATAGTAAGTTCTTTTATGTTTTGACATCATATTATAGATGATTAATCACTTCACACACTGAGATATATCTATCGTTTGGATGTTTTCATTATTATTATTATTACTATTATTTGGATTTAGATGGTGTTATATGATTCTTTCTTAGTTAGTCGTTATTAATTTTTTTTTATAAAATTGATATTTTAATTTAATTAAGAGTGTTTATTTTAGAATCTTATAATTTAATACATATATATATATATATATATTATATAAAATCATTATATGATAATCCAACTATAACATATTTATATTTAATTTTTTTAATAAATTTTATATAATTTCCATTTTTACATATTTTTATTTTCTAAATGAATATAAAAGAAAATTATAGTTAGAATTACTTTTAATTTTATATTACTAATTCTTCTTCTAATTTAACTATTATTTTTAATATCAAAATGA